AGATGTTTCCATATAGTTTAGGACTTTACATTGCGCTGAAAGTTGGAACAAAAGTTCATGATCAGGAAGTTTGTTTTGGTATACATTTCTCTCAGCGAATTGATCTGTCATGGAGAAATTAAAGTTGTTTTAGAAGCCTTCAAATTAGAAATTGCTTGCAGAGGAAAGGAGCACCGTCATCAAAACCTTAATTTGATTAACGTTCATAATAAAACGCAGCTACCTAAACACTCGTCTAGATAATTGTTAGAATCGTCAAGAGTCGAGAAAATTGTCACCGCTGCATGTTCAATATTTTTCCTTTACGAATTTCAATAAACTATAGTTTAACTCTATATTTAAGTTTGGACACTGATCACTTCTCTATCAGGCTAAATTGTATATGAATAAGTATAGTGTGTAAAATGACATGTGTGGGTAAATAGCCTTTCACTGAAATGCAAAGAGGAATGAAAATGTAAAAAACTTACTCGCTTTCACTCTGAGTTGCCTTACTCGAGCCATTCCGACTAGAAGAGAGTGTTTATTACCAATATAAATTTTTTGCTTATCCCTTTGACCGTTGTACCATCTGCTGGAAAACACTCCTGGGATGAAAACACGCTGTAACCAGCTCCAGTACATTGTATTGTTTGTCACCTGAATTAATGCAAGATCATTGGTTTAAAAAAAAAAAAAATATATATATATATATATATTTTTTTTTTTAGTGTGGCAGTATGGATAGACGAGTAGAAGTTTGAGTCACACAAGCGAATTAGTATTTATGGGCGTGTTTTAGACCATTAATTATGTTTGCATGAGATAGTAGCCCCTTTCTGGCTCATCTCCTATGTTAAAATTAAATGCCAATCTCTTCATGGGATTATACTTCTGTCGCTTGGAATTTCTTTCCAGTCTTAAGTTTGGGTCTCGCACACGAACACATCTCTTGTACCCTGATTCTAAGGGGATATTCCTATTCAAAATATCCATTACAAGAGCAGAAAATGCCTTAGTCAATCCCTGAACGTCTGTAAACAAGAAAAAAATATTCCAGTCCTTGATGAGGCCGCCGAGGTAAAATTTTCCTCTATTTTCTTGATTTTGAACCTTGATGGGAACGAAAAGTCGTAAGGTAAATTAAACACGCGAATTTCAGCAACTGATTTATCATAATCAATTAATGTTTACTTACCTTGTCAAAGTTTGGTAGTCCATCTCGGATTGATTTCGTCATCAAGTACCGATAGTCATTTCTGTTTCCATAGCACACTGCCATAAGCAAGAAAACGAAGACCAAGTATAAACCCAACTCTGTTAAATAACGTGCCAGGTTCTGTTTCTTAGCTTGTCGTCTCCTCGACTCTTCCACCTCTGATAATTTCAGTGCCCAAAAATGTTTCTTATAGTACCCAGT